CTCGTTCTGGGTCTCAAACTATCTGGGTTCCCCGCGTAATCGTAACAGAAATGCTCCAGCCACAAGAGACCCAGAATGAGACCAAGAGCGAGCAGACAACCCCCGGTTCCCCGGAGGAACGGATCGACGGGTTGGAAAGAGTTTTGCAGCAAGTACTGACTCACCAGACCACAGTCCAGTCCAACCTTCAGGAGCTCGGAGGTATGATGTATTCCATTAAACGTCAACTGCAGGCTTCTTCCTCCTCAGCTCCAGTCGTTCCGCCAGCCCCCGTGGCTCCTGGTCCCACTCTTCCTGTTCAACCATTATTCATTAAACCTTCTGAGTTCTTCACCGGAGACCCTGACCAATGTGGCGGCTTCTTGCTGCAGTGCAGACTCGCCTTCGAGGCGGCTCCCTCTCAGTTCTCCTGGGACACGGCCAAGATCACCTTTTTCGTAAGTCAGCTCAAGGGTAATGCTCTCCGGTGGGCTCACTCGTTTCTTCTGAGCCATGATAATCCCCCTGCAACCTATGAACTATTTCTGCATGAGTTTCGTAGGATTTTTGATCGCACCCTGCAGACGTCGAACGCCGCCAAGCGTTTGTTGAATTTACGACAGGGCCGACGTAACGCCTCGGAGTTCGCCCTGGAGTTTCGGATCCTTGCTGCCCAAACAGGATGGGACAAGCCTGCCCTCCAAGGTATTTTCTTAAACTCCTTATCTGATTTTCTCAAAGACCAGATGGCTACGCGAGACGATCCCAAGACTTTCGACAAGTTAATAGACCTTGCCATCTCCATCGATGACCGTTTCCGGGAAAGGAGGAAAGAGGCAAACTACAATTCCCATCAATCCTCGACTTCCGGGTTTTCGGCTTCTCCAGGTGAGCCCAAGTCCGCACCTTTGTACTACACCCCAGAATCCTCCCACTTACGAGTTTACGACGCCTCGCTATGAGTCCGTTTCACCCAAGCAGCCTCACTTGAACTACAACTCCCAGTCCTCCATGCTTCCTGGCCTCAACCAATCATATTCTTTTTCTCCACGAGATCACTCACCCGAGCCTATGCAGGTGGGGCACGCACGGCTGACTCCTGCAGAGAGACAGCGGCGTGAATCTGCCCGTCTCTGCATTTATTGTGGTAACCCCGGTCATTTTCTGCCCCACTGTCCGTTTCGGGGAAGACGAGAACTTCCACCAGTAAAGCGGGAGTTACTGGTGGGAACTTCTGCGTTAACCTCCCCATTTAAACTGTCGCTTCCCATGGTCATTCAGACTCCTGACCATCGCTTTTCATTTTCTGCTCTCCTCGACTCGGGTGCTGAACAAAACCTGATTAGTGCTGATTTAGTTAGAGAACATTCCTTGCCTACTCGTGAGATTCCTCCGATTTCTGTCGCCGGCTTAACCGGAGACGCATTGACCCGTATTAATCAGAAGACTACCGATTTGCATGTCATCATCTCAGGTAATCATCATGAGATGACTGATTTCCTTGTGTTTAACTCTCGTACACCCCAGATAATTTTAGGTTTCCCCTGGCTTCGTAACCATAACCCTGTTATTAACTGGGAGCGCGGCTGCGTTGACAAATGGAGCGACAAGTGTCTCAGTAACTGTCTTCGCTCCGCCATGAACGAGTTCCCTCGGGACACGCCTCTTCCAGAGGAGATCGATCTCACCTCTGTTCCTGCTGAATACCGCGACCTAGCGGCAGTCTTTAGCAAGCAACGCGCCTCGTCTCTCCCTCCTCATCGTCCCTTTGACTGCTCGATTGACCTATTACCTGGCGCCCCCTTGCCGTCAAGTAGACTTTATAATCTTTCTGGTCCCGAAAGGGAATCCATGTCTAATTATATTAATGAATACCTTGCCTCAGGTATTATTAGACCCTCGACCTCCCCTTTGGGAGCCGGTTTCTTTTTCGTTTCTAAGAAAGATAAAACTCTCAGGCCATGTATTGATTACCGCAGATTAAACAACATAACTATTAAAAATAAGTATCCGCTCCCCCTCATTGACTCACTGCAGGAACAATTACAGTCGGCTTCTTGCTTCACTAAACTCGACTTAAGAAACGCTTACCACCTCGTGCGTATTAAGGAGGGCGACGAGTGGAAAACAGCTTTTCGCACTCCTTTGGGTCATTTTGAATATTTAGTTATGCCCTTTGGGTTGACCAATGCCCCCGCGTTTTTTCAGGCACTCGTCAACGATGTCCTGCTCGACTTTATTGGTAATTTTGTTTTCGTCTACCTCGACGATATTCTTATTTTTTCTCGTGACCCCTCTCAGCACACGGCTCACGTCCGCATGGTTCTTCAGCGGCTGCTGGAGAATCAGTTGTTCGTTAAGGCGGAGAAGTGTGAGTTTAATACCTCCACCGTCTCCTTCCTAGGTTTTATTTTTGAGGGCGGACATTGTCGAACCGACCCCGAGAAGACCAGGGCAGTAGTCGACTGGCCGACCCCCGAGTCCAGGAAACAGTTACAATGTTTCCTGGGCTTCGCAAATTTTTACAGGCGGTTTATTAAAGATTATAGTCGTGTCGCCGCCCCCCTGTCTCAGCTCACTTCCACTGCCCGAGCCTGTCACTGGACCCCAGAGGCTGAGGCCGCCTTCAAGAAACTCAAGTCCCTCGTTTCCTCCGCACCCATCCTCTGCCACCCAGACCCTACGCACCAGTTCATTCTGGAGGTGGACGCCTCCGACACTGGGGTAGGGGCGGTCCTTTCCCAGCGATCACCCTCGGACAATGAAGTTCATCCCTGCGCCTTCTTTTCCCGACGTCTCTCTCAAGAGGAGCGCAACCACGACGTTGGCAACCGCGAGCTGTTGGCGGTCAAGGTCGCGTTGGAGGAATGGCGGCAATGGTTGGAAGGCACTGGGACCCCTTTTTTGATTTGGACCGACCACAAGCATTTGACTTTCCTTAGGAACGCCAAGCGTCTGACCCCCTGTCAGGCCCGTTGGTCGCTTTTTTTTTGATAGATTTAATTTTGTCCTTGCTTTCCGTTCGGGCTCTGAAAACGTCAAACCTGACGCCCTGTCCAGACAGTTTGCTCCTCCTGACTCACCTGAGAGCTCCGATACCATTGTTCCCCCCTCCTGTGTTGTCGGCTCCCTCTCCTGGCCCATCTCTGCTACCGTTCAGGCGGCCCTCCTTAGGACCGCGGCCCAGGCCAAACGGTTCACGGACCGCCACCTTTCAGCGACACCCGCCTACCAGGTCGGCTAGCAGGTTTGGTTGTCCACCAGGGACATCAAACTGTGGGACACCCCCCGTAAACATGCCCCCCGCTTCATTGGCCCCTTCCCCATTACCCGCATCATTAACCCTTCTGCGGTCGGTCTCCAACTCCCCAGAGCCATGAGGATTCACCCGACCTTCCACGTCTCCCAGGTCAAGCCCGTCTTCCTCAGTCCCTTGTGCCCCCCTTCTGACCTCCCCCCGCCGCCCCGCCTGATCGACAACCACCCTGCGTTCACCGTCAGATCCATCCTGGACGTGCGACGCAGGGGTAGGGGTTTCCAGTACCTGGTCGATTGGGAGGGGTACGGTCCTGAGGAGAGGTCATGGATTCCCAGATCCTTTATCCTCGATCCCAGCCTCATCTCCAGGTTTTTCAGGGACCACCCGAGAAGCGCCTCAGGTCGCCTGGAGGCGATTCTTGAGTGTGTGTGTGTGTGTGTGGGTGGGGGGGTACTGTAAGGGTCCAACTGCCTGCAGCCTGCCTTGCTGATGGCCGCTGATTAACAACACCTGGTGGTCATCAGCCTGATGAGCCTCTCCATCTACAAAAGGCTGCAGCCCAGTGTGACTCATGGCTGGAGCATATCACCTCTCATGGTATAGTACTGTTGAGCTAGATATATCTAGGTGAAAAGAATTTGTTCACCTGTGTTCTCTTTTCCAGTTTCC